CCCCTCCCCCCTCCTTTTCTCCTCGTAATCTTCCTCCTCCACCGCCGGCGGCGGGGCCGTTCGCGGAAGGCGGGGGCGCCGCTCGCGGCGACGCGCCGCGGCCGTGGAAGGGGGGCCGAAGGAGAAAAGAAAATGAAGGGGGGCACGGGGTGGCAAGGGAAAAAAAACAAAGACGAGAGAGGAGGGGGGAGGGACTGACAGAGGGAGGCCGGTAGAAAGGAGGAAGAGAAGGGGAGGAGAGAGGGGGGCGAGGCAGGAGAGAGGACGAAGGAGGAGGAATGACAAAAGAGGAGGGACGACGAGGAAGGAAAAGGGAAATAACAGGGGCAAGCACCGCCCTTCCAGGCGCAATGGAGGGCGCAGCCGCCGCCACTTGTGAACAGCGCAAGCACGGCGGGCCGACGGCCGTTGCGCATTGCTGCTCGGAGAAATGCCAGGGGCGGGCAATGTCGCGACTGCGTCGCGCATGCGTCGCGCGTGCGTCGCGCGTGCGTCGCGCGTGCGTCGCGCGTGCGTCGCGCGTGCGTCGCGCGTGCGTCGCGCGCGTGGCGCGTGCGTCGCGCGTGCGTCGCGCGGGTCGATCGTGCGTCGCGCGCTGGCAGGGGTGCGTCGCGCGCGGGTCGGGGTGCGTCGCGCGCGCGTCGCGCGCGCGTCGCGCGCGCGTCGCGCGGGCGTCGCTCGGGTCGTTCGCGCGTCGCGCGCAGGTCGCGCGCGAATCGCTCGAAGGGCGCCGTGGACTCCTGACGGCATGTGAACTGCACGGCCCGCTGGCGAAACAATCAAGGGATGCGCGCGGCAATCGTAGAAATAGCGAGACACGCACGTGAGAACTACGAACGCGAGGAGACCAAGAGACGACTTGGAGATGCAGCGCGCACGGACTAATCCATTTCAAGCGCACGCCCCGTCAGATGTTGAACATCGGTCCGTCGCTGCAGCAATTTGGCGACGTCTCGCCCGCCGATGCAGTGGGGGGGAAAAGAAGATGGAAGTGAGGCGAGGGAAGGGCGGGCGGAAATGGGAACGGACGGGCGAGGAGGGGGCGCGCGGGGGCGGCGCAGCGGCGGCGGGAGCGATGGAAGGCGATCGAAAGGGGGGCGGCGGGAGCGAGGAGGGCGAGAAGTTCCAGGAGGGTGGAAGGACAACGGGGGGCGAGTAGGGAGGCGGACAGGACGGCAGCCTGACACAGAAGAACTGTGTACAAATTTCGCAAACGGGACAAAACGCGCAGCGCGTTGGACGAGGGGAAGAGGAAGGAAGAGGGGGGGGGCAGGAAGATTGGAGCGAAACGACATGGGGGTGCGGGGCGCGATGCGACGGGGCGAAGTGGCGCCGCGTCGCGCGACGTGACGTCACCCCACCGCGGCGCGACACGCACAGCCCCCAATCAACGCGAGGCGTCTTCGTCCTCAGCAACGGTTGGCGCCCCCGACAGTGAGCGCCAGCAAATCCTCTTGCGCCGAAGTGGGAACAGAACGCGTTGGTGGACCGTCGAACTAGGAGTGCGCCGCGACCGCCACAATGGCTGCTGGTGCACGGGCGTCGGAAACCTATATATCGCCAGAGCACTTCCGAAGTCGCGCCATATGTCGCCCACGCACTCTGGGAGGCCGGGATTCGGGACAGAGACGGAAACCAGGGCCGGCGCACGGGCGACGCTCGGGCGACGCACTGAACGAAAACTTGAAGGGGGGGGTGGTCGCTTCACTGGGCCTTAACAGTTGCCCGAAGGAAACGGCGAGGTCCTCTGGCCGCGGGCGGTGGATTCATGTATCCGAAGCCCCAAGGCAGTCCAGGGGCCAAGGCACAAGGGGCCCTGCAGCGCCTCGGGCCCGGAAGCATGTGGCCCAGGGCACGCAAATATGCTCACGGACTATCATCCTTGGCGCTGTGCGCCGCCTGCCGGAGGCCCCCCGAGACGCTTGGCCATCGCTGGCGCCGTTGCCCCGGCCTCCTGGCGCCCGCGAACGACGAGGTGGAGGAGGAGGTGCTGCCCCCAGACATCGCAGCAGCACGGCGGCCAGCCCCTCTCCAGCACGGCCAGGACATGGAGGGGGGCCACTGGGGCTCGCTCGACCTCCCGCACGGCCTGCCTTTGATGCCGCCCGCCTGCGAACTGCCCACGCGGCCTCTGGAAGCCGTCGTCCACGAGTGGGGCGGCTCGGCAGTGCCATGGGCGCGAGTGCTGTGCACGGGCGGCTCGGCCTTGGCCAACGCCTCGGAGGCGCTGCGGCAATGCGGCTGGGCGGTCGTCATGATCAAGGAGCAGGCGCGGCCAGGGCGCGCGATCTTCGGCGCGCTGCCTGGGCCTCGGCAGACAGCGGGACGACCTGAACGGCACGCAGGCCTGCAGGCAGTGCGCGCCAGTCCCTCGGTGGAGCTGATCGCCACGGACCTGCAGGGATTCGCCATGGAGGGCGACAGCTGGCGCCCAGAGCTGGCGGGCCCGACGGGGCGGCACGCCAAGCTGCGGCGAAATCTCCGCAATGCTGTCGGAGACAAGACCCCGCCCAGGTTCCGGCGGCTGCCTGCCCACGAGGCGGTGGAGGCCGTCCTCGATGACAGCTCCCTTGACCCCATGCACTGGGTCGGAAACAGGTGGGCCGACTGGTTCGCCAAGCTGGGGGTCCAGGACTCCCTCCTCCCTGCAGGCTTCGCACGCGCCCTCGAGGTCAGGATGCACGAGGCCGCGGCCAGAAGCAAGTTGATGGCTTGGGCAGCGCAGGTCGTCTCCTCTTGCGGGCAGTGGGACACCGCCGAGCCGCGGGGGACCCCGCGAGCTCCGGCTCGGCCGCCTCCCCAGGTCAAGCTTTCGACCACGTCTGCGTCCCCGACGAGCAGGGCGTCCGCTGCGTGCGGTGCAACGCCAGCGCCCGCACCGAGCACAGCAAGCGCTGGCTGGACTGCCAGCCCCGCAGGGCCACACCCCTGGCCCAGCTGCAGGCTGTGGCAGCGGCCAGCCCCCCTGCTCCTGAGCGGGGACCTGCAGAAGGGGCCACCAGTGTCGACCTGGAGATGGGGAGTGCTGGAGGGCAGCCGCAGGAGCAGGACCAGGCTCCGGACTCCAGCTTGCGCTCGAAGGTGGCCTACCTCCTACAGGCCGCACGAGGCGACGCGCGGGGGCGCCTGCCCCCGGAGGAGATCGCAGAGATGCGCGAGCTGGTCATGATGCAGCTCGACGCCTCTCGACGCCGCCGACGCCCTGCCACGGCGGCCCCTGGCGCAGCCCCCGACGGGCCCGACGCGGCGCCCGACTGCCCCAGAGGCAGCCTGGAGGCCCGCCAGCCCCCACGATCACAAAACCCAGGTTTGTGATCGTGAGCCCCTGGGCCGCCCTGGAGCGTCCACGGAGGCTCCCGGCGCGGTCCCCGACAGCCCTGGCGCGGCCCTCCAGTCCTGGCGGCTGCCCGGATGCCCGCCAGCCTTCGCGTTCACGATTTCCTTCTTGTGATCGAAAGCACCCGGGCCGCCCCGGAGCGCCACGCGCTGCTGCTGCTGCTGCTGCTGCTGCTGCTGCTGCTGCTGCTGCTGCAGCAGGCGAGTCGTTGGAGGTGGACCCGGGCGCGGGCTTTATAGGGCTCCGCGCCGGCGACGAGCTCCAGGCGGTGGAGGCGGCGCGCGCTGGAGGAGCTGCGAAGCGGATCCGCAGCGACGGTCACAGCTCCTGGGCGACCAGGCCCAGGCTCAGCGATGTGACGGCTGCGGCGGAGGTGTAGCCAGGCGCGCTGCGGCGGCCCCCTGGCGGCCTGGCCCAGCAGGAAGGCGGCCCTCTTCAGACAGCCCCCGACCCTCGGGACGGTGGCGTCGACCTCGTCGATGGCGGCTCTGGCGCGGCCGTACCTGGGGTGTCGACGGCCCCCGTGACTGACGGAGGCGGGCGGCCTGGCGGCGAGGACGCAGCCGAGGGCCACTCGCGCCACCCTGGCGTACAGCCCAGCCCCGCCGCTGCGCTGGGCGGGGCCGCGGCCAGCCTCGCAGTGGCAGCAGCAGCGGCGGGATGCGCGCCCCGACCACGTGACGATGCAGGCGAGGAGCTCCCGCCTCGGAAGGCAGCCAGGAGGGACGAGGCTGCGGCGGAGGTGCAGCCCTCCGGTGAAGCAGGATGCGGGCCACCGCAAGACATGCCGCAGGTGCTGGTGCACAACCGGGGCCTGCGCCTGGAAGTGGGCGCGGGGCAGCCGTGAGCAAGCCCGTCCCAGCCTTGGTTCCAGCGCTGGTGTGAGCAGCGGAAGCGGCTGCAAGAGCACGGACCCCGCGGCCCCGGCGCGGGGGCCGCCCCGCTGAGGGCCCCGCCGAGGGCGCACCGCAGCCGCCTGGGAAGGCAGCGAAAACGGGCCTGCTGCCCAGGCTGAGGGCCATGGCCGAGAGGCTGGCTGGCTGCGGGGAGGTCGGGCAGGACCCCGCCGCCAGCCGGCCGAGGGCTGCCGAGGAGAAGCCGGCTGTGCAGGCCCCAGCCGCTGCCGACGTGGATCGCAGTGCAGTGCGAGCGCTGCAGAAGGCCACGCGCGAGGCGCGCGTTGCGAGTGCGCGCCCGGGAGGCCCCGCGCCTGCGGCCGAGGGAGCGGCAGCGGGCGCGCCTGCGACGGTCGAGGAGCTGTCTCCACTTTCTGCTGCTGCCGCGCCTGGCTTCGTTGGCGGGGGTGGGAATGGGGGGAGGGCGGGGGATGACGGAGTGGCAGCTGCTCGGGGCCACGAGTTGGTCGTCCGTAGCCCGTTCATCGTCTGCAGGAGCTGCGGGGCCTCCGTGTCCGCGACCCGCGGCGCTCGACGGCCTGGCCAGGCATGCCCCGGTCCGCTCCCGCCCCTCCTGGAACGCACGCCCGCGGAGCGTGGTCGGCGCACCAGGCGGGGGCGGTTGCTCGACGGAGTGCATCCCATCTCGGGTGCGAGCCCGGGCGTCTAGTCTCGGGGGGGGCCCTGCGGGCCGCTTGGCGTGGGGGCCTACGCGCCCCTGTGGGGCTGCCAGGGGTCGTACCGCACCGGGGTTCCTCGGCGGGCCCCGAGCGGCCTCTCGGCACTGCCTGCGGGCAGGCTTCGTGTTTCGGCTCTATTGGGTCGCGCCTGGGGGTCCCTCCAGGGGGCTTCATCGTGGCGGGGTGTTGTGCCTAGGGGCTAGGTGCAAAGGTTGTCGGCCCACGGTCAGTTTTTGCGAAGGCTGGACGTGGCGCGACAGTGGGAACGACACACGCACACACACACACACAAACATGTATACACACGCAAACACAACTAAACAACTACGCATCCTGCGCCTCACACTACTTCTCAACACCACCGCCGCCATCATCGTCTTGGTCAGCGTCAGCGTCTGCGTCAGCAGTGTCAGACTCCTCCTCATTGTCATCATTATCATAGTCATCACCATCGTCATTACCAAATTCATCATCACTGGGGTCATCATCATCATCATCAGCATCATCATCAACAGCGACAGCAACATCCTCATCATCTTCTTCAACACTAAGAGCAACATCAGCATCATCATCATCGTCATCATCAGCAACATCATGATCATCAACGTCATCATCAGCAGCATCATGATCATCAACGTCATCATCAGCATCAGCATCAGCATCACCATCAGCATCAGCATCATCAGCATCATCATCATCGTCATCATCAACAACAACATCCTTATCATAATCAGCATCGGAATCATCATCATCATCGTCATTCTGAGACTCACCATCACCATTGCCATCATCAACATCACCATCGCCGCCACCACCACCATCAGCATCATCAGCATCATCATCAACATCAGCAAAATCCGCATCATCAGGATCATAATCATAATCACAATGATCATCAGCATCATCGGACGCATCATCATCATCATCATCATCATCATCATTATCATCATCATCATCATCAACACCATCATCATCATTAGCAGCATAATCCTTATCCTCATCCTCATCATCATAACCATCATCAGCACCATCATCATCATCATCATCATCATCATCATCATCATCATCATCATCACCATCACCATCACCATCACCATCACCATCATCATCCTCCTCATCCGCCTCATCCTCCTCTTCCTCCTCCTCCTCCTCCTCCTCCTCATGCTCATCCTCATCACCCTCCTGCTTATCCTCACCATCATCCTCCTCATCTGCGGACTTATCCTGACCCTCATTACCATCACCATCACCATCACCAACAAGCATCACCACCACCATCATACTCATCAGCAGCATCAACAGCACCAGCGTGTCAGCGTCAGTATGCACCAGCACCAGCATCAGCAGCATCATCAGCATCATCACCCTCCTCCCTCGGCGGGGTTGGTTAGGTGACCCCACGAGAACCCGGCCCTCTTGCCCCAGCCGCGGGAGACGAGCTCCGGGGACTTCGCCATGGCCTCCCGACGCTGGCCGCGGAATCCTTCGGCGTCCTTGTGCGCGAGGGGGGGCCCTCCCCTCGCCCTCCTCCTCATCCTGCTTCTCCTCTTCTTACATGCTCCTCCCTCCCCCCTCCTCCCTCTGTTCTTCTACAATTATCCCAGTGCGACCCTACCTAGGAGTTGGAGCATTCAGGAAAGCAACAGCTAAGCTAAGCTAAGCTAAGCTAAGATGGGGTAAGCTAAGCTAAGCTAAGCTAAGCTAAGCTAAGCTAAGCTAAGCGAAGCGAAGCGAAGCTAAGCTAAGCTAAGCGAAGCGAAGCGAAGCTAAGCTAAGCTAAGCTAAGCTAAGCTGGGCTAGGCAAAGCTAAGCTAAGCTAAGCTGAGCTGAGCTAAGCTAAGCTAAGCTAGGCTAGGCTAGGCTAAAGCTAAGCTAAGCTAAGCTAAGCTAAGCTAGCTAAGCTAAGCTAAGCTAAGCTAAGCTAAGCTAAGCTAAGCTAAGCTAAGCTAAGCGCTTAAGCTAAGCTAGCTAAGCTCGAAGCTAAGTTAAGTTAAGCTAAGCTAAGCTGGGCTAGGCAAAGCTAAGCTAAGCTAAGCTGAGCTGAGCTAAGCTAAGCTAAGCTAGGCTAGGCTAGGCAAAGCTAACTAAGCTAAGCTAAGCTAAGCTAAGCTAAGCTAAGCTAAGCTAAGCTAAGCTAAGCTAAGCTAAGCTAAGCTAAGCTAAAGCTAAGCGAAGCTAAGCTCAGGGTAAGTTAAGCTAAGCTAAGCTGGGCTAGGCAAAGCTAAGCTAAGCTAAGCTGAGCTGAGCTAAGCTAAGCTAAGCTAGGATAGGCTAGGCTAAAGGCAAAGCTAAGCTAAGCTAAGCTAAGCTAAGCTAAGCTAAGCTAAGCTAAGCTAAGCTAAGCTAAGCTAAGCTAAGCTAAGCTAAGCTAAGCTAAGCTAAGCTAAGCTAAGCTAAGCTAAGCTAAGCTAAGCTAAGCTAAGCTCGGGGAACCCAGGGGGCGCAACCGGGGGAACCAGGGGGGCGCAACCGGGGGAACCGCCCGGGGTGAGTTACACTGCCCGCCCCCTTTAGCACACAAAGTAAGAACCCTTCTAGGCAGAGCCTAGGTAGGGAATTACTCAATATGAAAATACTCTCCCTCTTCCCCTGATGGCGTCCGGGTGATGGCCGCGCATTCTCCGCGTACTGTTTTTTACACACAGGATGCCCGGGAAATCCCGGGAAACGACTCTCGCTGAGGCGCCGGCGTCATTTTCGGGCCGAGCGCCCCCCGCGTACTGTTTTTTTTCACACAGGATTCCCGGGAAACGGGTTTTCGCCTGCGTTCTTTTAAATGATGCTCTCGCTGAGGCGCCGGCCTCATTTCTGCTCCCGAATCGTTCCGAATCGTGCTCCCGCTGCAGCGTGGGCCTCGTTTTCGGATCGGTGTTTGGCCTCCGTCGTTCAGGATGGCGTTCTCGCCCCAGCGCGGGCCTCTTTCTCGCGCGCCCATCCGCCCGCCACCACCGCGCCGCACCACCACCACCACCACCACCACCACCACCCCCACCACCACCACCACCACCACCACCACCACCACCACGACCACCACCACCACACGCACCGCACCACACCAGCACCAGCAGCAGCAGCACACACCTCCACCACCACCACCACACACCACAACCACGCACACACGCACGCACGCACGCACGTGCACCACCACCCACTACGCACGCGCGCGCGGAGCCACAGGTCCGCTAC